ATATTCTCCTATACAAAAGAGTTGTTCTTCTAAAGTAAGATTATTAATTATATAAAGGGTTGTTCTCCTATAAAGCTGATTTATCATGAGTCTCCCACTATGTATTTTTAATTATATCTAAAGTAAGATCCCTCTACTATAAAGGGAATGATTATTATTTCTGTAAGTGGCAAAGTTTTATTTACATTGTAATTCAAGCATCATATTCTCCTATACAAAAGAGTTGTTCTTCTAAGCTTCATAAATTGGTTCAACCTGTTCAGTCCTAAAAATCTTCTTCTTTACAGCTGTGTTTACTTTGTACTCTTTGCAATCCATATTTGATATTTCTATTTATCCTTACGGTTTGTATTAAGCTATACCACATATCATTAGAACTACGTACAAATTTAACTCTATCCGTTTTTCGGGTAAACAATAATAGCCTTTTATAACCAAAAGAAAAACATGACAATAAGGTAGGAAGAATACATTTTCCCCTTACAGAGCTATTCAATCCAGTACAAAAATTTGGTATAAATGTTTTAGCTAATACCGGTTGAGGAAATTCAAACTAGCTAATACCAGCCACATGAGGAAATATACACACTAGTTGAAGCAGATGAAATAAATTGGATCATTCACAACAACAAAAGGGTTCAATATATTGCAAATCTTGAATGCCTGGAGTAATATTTTTGCACACAGTCTGTTCTTGCACTTTGTATGTGAATGATCTAAATGCTATTGAGTAAAATTAATGGAATACTCCTTTCCTTATAACGCAATTATCAAGAGATGACCGCGAACATGTTAAAAAGTGGGTACACCGGTTATAAAAAGAAATAGTAAGTGAATAATACTTAACAAACACTAACTTAAAATTCTGAATTAATCTTATTGCAAATATAAAGTTTTATCTGTTTGAGAAAAAATACTTTTATTTACTTAATTATGTGTTTATCATGATCCACTTATGATAAAATTCTTCTTTCTAGATCACAAAAACTACACCATAAAACTTTTGTATAATCCATTCAACTTCTTAGCTCACTTTGTCGCGGCACTAGCTCTGATCTTTAACATATCTACCCCAAAACCAGTGCCGCTCCCACACTTGATGCATGGAATTCAAAGCAACACCTTTGGTCTCTGGCATAAACATCACTATAAAAATGGTCATAACAGCAATCCAACCAGAAAAGAATAAGAAAGCGCCATACTTGAAGTGACAAAGCATTGCCAAAAATGTTTGAGACAGAACGAATGTGGTTGCAAAGTTCATAGCCACACTTATGCTCTGTCCCGTTGATCGAATGTTTATCGGAAATATTTCGCTTGGAATGAGCCAACTTAGAGGACCCCATGACCAACCAAAACCAGCAGCATAGATGCACATCAGGGCAAGTACTAAGGCAGCATATTGTTTGGTTATGTGTTTGCTTCCATTTTCACCTATTGAAGCTGCCAGTGTTGAAACAATAGCTACCTTCACCAACATTAAGCCAATCATGTAAATAGCACAAGGATCATCTAAGTTATACACACTAACAGTATCAATATCTTTCTATTATAAATATAATTTAATATTTACTCTATTTTCTTGATAAGTTACCATATCAAATTTGTTAAAAGCTTGCACTTATATGTTATTGTATGTCAATTTAACTTGATAGTGCAATAAAACAATACATCGTCAGCATATAATAGTTAAGACTCTTTAAGAATTTAACTTATATACACTAGCAATATCAAGAAATTTTACGCTATTATTGCAATTTAACTAATTATAGCAGGTTGTTACTCTATTTTCAGGTTATCTTATCTGGCTAGCTTGTTATGAAAAGTTAAATATTGTTGTAAGCCAACTTAACCTGATGATGAAAACAACATATACACTATCGACGCACAAAACATATTTAACTCTTCAACTAATTATTGCTTGAGTTTTATCTTGGATATTTGGGTGCATAACGAGTTGTCTCAGTTGGCTATTAGTTAAGCACGCACCTGGCAGATTAGCATTTGTACTCCGCCCAGTATGAAGAGAAATCTCCGACCAAAGCGATCAACAATACCAGTAGACACAAGGATTGAACCAAGATTGACTAATCCAAGTATAACAGCACCAAGTAGAGCCGAGTTATTCCCAAAACCAACTGATCGAAAAAGGACAGGGGCGTAGAATGCAATGATATTAATCCCAGTCATTTGCTGGAAAAATGGTATGAAAATGGACATGACCAAATGAGGCCGATGTTGTCTCTTAAAGATTGTTACAAAAGGCTCTTCCTTTGAAGCTCTTGCAATTTCACAAGATTTAATAAGATCAGCTAACTCAGCTTCAATTTCAATGTTGTCATTGGTTCCACGAACTTTTGCTAGAGATTGCTTTGCCTGCTCCAATTTTCCACGATCAACTAGGCTGCTTGGTGTGTCTGAAATGAGAAGTGCACCTGTACCCAAAAGTGTGACTTAGTGTCAATAGAAGAATTAACTCAAATAGCCGCTCACCCAATCGATTAATCTAAAAATAGTTTGTGGAGGTATAATTTATGCATAGTTCATGTATTATGTGTGTATAATCGGGTATAATTAATGTATAATATATGTATATGGCTAAAACAAAATAGTGAATATGACCAGTTATGTATGTAAAGATCCCTTGTTTTTGATGAAGTATCATGGTTCATATCTCAGGAGAGATAAAAAAACTCAAGTGCATGATATACACGGTTCCTGTACTCATGGGAAATAATATATAGGCAGTGAAATAGTCGAGGTGCGTACAAGCTGGTCCAGATGTGCCACTATTATATGTAACATAGAAAATGAACAAAAATAAATGAGAAGTGCACCTATGCTCATTGTCGCGGATGGAACTATGGCCAGGCCGAGGGAGAGGCGCCATCCCCAGCTGAGCTTAGAGGTGGCATAGTTTATGCAATTCGCAGTAACAATGCCAAGGCCTATGAAGAATTGGAAGCCTGTGCTGAATGCACCTCGCCATTTTGAAGGTGCCATTTCTGAGAGATACACAGGAGTAGCCTTCAAAGGTATACATAATTAAAAAGAAAGTTAAATTACTACATAAGTCTTGATTTTAGTTCACGGAAAGACGGGATTGTGTCTAGAAAGTGTAGGCTGGAGAAGAGGCCTAAACCCATACTCTTCTTTCCCTACCTGGTTAGTAAAGCCAACACCAAAGCCTAGCAAAATGCGGCCCAAAATGAGCATAGAAATATTTTGAGCAGCACCATTCATAGCAGCACCAGCAAAGAAAGTGCAGCCTCCTACTACCATTATGTTTCTTCGTCCGATGGCGGCTGTGAGGCGACCAGCTACGAGAGATGCCACCAAGCCAGCAATGTAGAGTGATGAAGTAAACGCTGTTAAAACCTCGCTGTCGTACACACAATACACGTTTGTTTCAGCACCAGCAGATGCTGCCTTCTTCAGTATTGATGGGAAGAATTTTTCAAGAAATGGCCTCATTGTTGTCACTCCTCCTGATGTGTACAAAAAAAAGGGATTGAGTATTTGTGAATATATATGGCTTACACAGCATAGAAATTACGAGTCCGTATTGGAAACGGTCAGTTCTCTTTTTGTTCTCATTTTTTTTTATTTAGTTTATATATCAGGCAAATGCTCTGGTTCACAAAGGAATGACACAATGTCAAGACAGTTGTTCCTATAATTTCCTGGAAAGTTGTTTACCTGAAATAAAATGTCTCTTCTCTTTCCTTGAATATGGATAACCTATAGTTATTTTAGTATGACTTTATAGAGAGCCTTGGCGTAACTGATAAAGTTAATGCCATGTGACCAGGAGGTCACGGGTTCGAGCCGTGGAAACAACCTCTTGTAGAAATGCAGGGTAAGGCTTGAGGTCCGGCCCTTCCCCGGACCCCGCGCATAGCGGGAGCTTAGTGCACCGGGCTGCCTTTTTTTATAGTGTTACACTAGTACTATGTAAAAGCTAAAGATGATGAGTTAACTTCTATACAGAGACAATACATAAATTTTTACACAATCATACCTTCTAAAAGATAATTACAGGTACCCAACCATAAAAAGTGAAATTAGTAAGGCGGAAAATAAAACAAATTACTTCAACATACAATAATAGTGTAGATTTTATATATACTCTGTATGCATAAGTTAAATCAAATGAGGATCAGCCCTTCTTTGTAGGGATTTCTCCTAAGAAACACTGTTGATCATCAGGTGTAGACCCCTAACAAAAAAGTTGGACTGGAATCCATAAAATGAAAGAGAAAACACTAACCTGAAATTCCAATATCAAATCCAAAAATGAGGCCACCTGATGCAGCAACAATGCTAATGATGACAACGGCGAATGTTATCTTCCCGTTAAAGCAGTTATCGCTACCACCTTGTCCCTCAACAGCCATGCCCCCAATTGCCATTTTTTCTTCTTAGCGACTTGAAGAGATTTAATTATATTTCCTATAGTCTACAGAGTGAGCAGCTTCACATATATATGAACACAAAGTTATCCACTAATTAATGGCGTAAAGAAACAGAACATGCAAATTAATGAACTAGTTAGAAGTCTAGACGTTTTAAACATTGTTATAATAGGAAGTGATGAAGGAATTTCTGGTGACTTTTAGCTGTGCAACTTCCTCTTTCCTCCCCCTTCTATATACTGTAGCTTGTATTTATTTAGTACGCAGCAGTACTGCAAGAGAATGGTAGGTAAGAGGAGTAAAGGCTTAATTTAGCATATTTTTTAATTCTTCTGGAAATATTCTGTAGCGCCCTTGACCATGCTTAATGGTCCTACAGTTGGAATATCTGCGACGAATGTGGTTAGGTCAATTATCCAGTTTCTGAATAAAAAAAAAAAAGAACGATAAGCGGAAAATTTGGAGTTAATACGAGAGAGATTTAGTTGGTTGCTGAATAACAGAAAAAGATGCACAAGCGGAAAAAGTTCAGAACTGCTTGTTGTGAAACTAGATGTCTACTTATATCAATTTTTTCTTCGTGTCATTTTTCTAAATTGGCTATTTATAAGCACCCTGACAACACAAAATACTAGTCCCAGTAATAATTTTGCCATGGACCTTTAGTTCTCATCAAATTACTTACTTCACACCTACTTGGTGTCAAAGGCATTTCCATACAAAGACACCTTACATATCAGGGATTTATAGCTGGCCGTAGATGGGGGTTTATTTGATGAGTACGTGGGCGCGGATCCATTGATGATAATTTATGAGAGATGAAGTGCATTGTTGGCCTCGATTTTGGAGTTTCAACCAAACAAGAGCTTGCTAGCTTGATCATAAAAACCAAAACCTCCTTTACTCTATCTTCAGGATATGGAAGGCGTTCATCCAGCAAATCGCTAAGCTGCATATGGTCTCTAGTAGATGAATTTTCTATCAGAGTAATGCATTCCCCAAGATGATTTCCATTGATTATCTCCAATGCTAATACTCCAAAGCTATAGACATCACACATTTCTGTATCCTTCATTGTATATGCAAGCTCTGAAACAATACAATTTCCAAAAAAAGTATAACAATTAAATGAGTACATGAGATAAAAACAGCATAGAGTGCGTGGATATATAGAGTTCATCATCGGATCACAATTTGGCTCGTTGATACAAGATGAAATTGAAGGAAATTTTTTTCTGCTGCAACATGAGACTTATCAATGGCAACTGGAAGGCAATAAAAGAATATAACAGGCCCATCAACCACTTTGCTTTTGAACTTCTCATTACACCTCATATTGGAACCCTACCCAAAAAATCGAATGGGGGGACGAATTTGTTCTTAACAATAGATACTTTATCACTTGGCTTTAGTAATTTCCTACAGACCAGATAAGCATCCTAACAATACTAGAATACAAGTCCCAGTAATAATCTTTTCGTGGACCTTCTCATTAAATTACTTATTTCACAATTACTTGGTATCAAAGCTTATTCATTTCCATAAAAGGACACCTTACATATCAGGGATTATATAGCTCGCCTTACATGGGGTTTTTATCTATGATGAGTACGTGGGCGTGAATCCATTGATGATAAATTGATAACCTATGAGAGATGAAGTGCATTGTTGGCCTCGATTTCGGAGTTTCAACCAAACAAGAGCTTGCTAGATTGATGATAAAAACCAAAACCTCCTTTACTCTATCTTCAGGATATGGAAGGCGTTCATCCAGCAAATCACTAAGCTGCACGTGATCTCTAGTCGATGAATTTGCTAGCAGAGTAATGTATTCCCCAATATGATTTCCTTTGATTATCTCCAATGCTAATACTCCAAAGCTATAGACATCACACATTTCTGTAACCTTCATTGTATATGCGAGCTCTGAAACAATACAGTTTCCAAAAAAGTATAACACTATAAATGAGTACATGAGATAAAAACAGTATAGAGTGTGTGGCTATATATAGTTAATAAAGAAGGGATAAAAAGTTATATCTTACCAGGTGCAACATAGCCATATGTGCCTGCAAGCGTTGTGCAATTGGACGAGTCTGGCTTGAGAAGCTTGGCTATTCCAAAATCGGAAACACGAGCTTCATACTCAGAGTCAAGCAAAATATTACTGCTTGATATGTCTCGATGAACAATTGGTGGCAAACAGTCCTGGTGCAGGTAAGATAAAGCAAAAGCAACACCTTTGATGATATTCACCCTCTTAAGCCAATCCAAATTCTTGGACTCATCTTCATTGCTCAAGATACTAAACAGACTCCCCCTCTCCACATACTCGTAAACCAAGAACGAGTGTTGTGCATTCGAACAAAAGCCATAGAGTTTCACAATGTTCCGATGCTTAATCCCTATCAATGCATTTACCTCATTCGTGAAGCTTTTGCAATGTGTATTCGCAAATGAAGAATGAAATCTCTTCACAGCTATACTTCCTAATGATGGAAGGTTTACCTTGTAAACGCTTCCCTGCCCTCCTTGCCCCATGCAAAATGTTGCATCAAACTCCTCTGTGGCGTTTAAGATATCACTGTACAATGCCTTTCCATCTAACAAGAATATAGAAAACAAACCATCATCCCGTCTTTCAACATCTTTAACTTTCCTTCTTTTATCACACATAAGAACACCAGTAAAAGCACAGAGAAGTACTAGTGCTCCCATAACAGGAAGTACAGTGGCGAGGATGAATTTACTTCTTGACTGCTTCTTCACCATCGAAGATGGCCTTTCGCAAGGCTGAAATCCTGTTACATTGCCGCAAAGACCTTTATTACCTTCAAATGAAGCATTCATAAACGCTTTATTATTTGGTATTGGACCATCCAACTCATTGTATGACAAGACAACATCCCGCAAACCAGTCATACTTTCAAATTCTTCAGGAATGCGGCCAGAGAGGCCATTGTGAGAAAGATTCAACTTTTCCAAGTCCAGCAAACTGGCTAACTGAGAGGGTATTTCTCCATCTAGAAGGTTATGGCTCAAATCAAGTACACTTAGGTGAGTTATCCTCCCAATCTCCTTTGGAATTTTCTGGCCAAACTTGTTGTTGCTCAGGTTCAAGAGAAACATATTCATGTAATCTCCGATAAATATTGGGATCGACCCGTTCAATCTATTGTCTGACAGATCAAGGCAATCTAACTTTGTCAGTGACCCAAGTTCACTCGGAATATTGCCAGAAATGTGATTGTTCTGCATAAAAAGTTTAACTAGAGAGGTCAATTTTCCAAATTCTTTTGGAATCTGCCCAACCAAATGATTAGATGAAAGATCAAGTCCTAGAAGCCCTTTGACGTTTCCAATCTCTTGTGGTATGCTACCACTAATGTTATTTCTAGCTATCTGCAAATTTGTCAAATTCTTGCATTTTCCCCAGTTGCTGCTGAGTTCACCATAAAAATCGTTGTCGCTCAAATCAATGAACTGAAGCTCTGAATAGATACCAAAACTTTCCGATAAATTCCCAGTGAAACTATTGTTATCAAAACGAACTCTTCTGAGACTCGAGCACTTGCTCAAGCTTCTTGGTATTGGACCTGTCAGCTTGTTATTACCCACCGTGAATTTCACAAGTTTTCCACCTTGGCAAAAATGCTCTGGCAAGTGGCCTGAAAACTGATTTTCAGTCATTGAAAACATAACCATGTTATCCAAATATGCAAGTTCTTTTGGAATGGAACCAGAAAGTTTGTTGGTGCGGAGTCGCAGTCTTTGCAAGTTTCTCAAATTGCCAAATGAAACAGGAATTGAACCGGTAAGCTGATTATTGGCTAATTCTAGATCAATGAGATTTCTTAGATTCCCCAACTCTGTAGGAATGGGACCAGAAAGTTGGTTAGAATAAAGGTGCAGAATTTTGAGCTCACTTAAGTCACCAATAGTTTTTGGAATCGGACCAGAAAGATTGTTTTTCTGTAAGCCTAAATCCTCAAGCGACTTCATCTTCCCTATTTCTGCAGGAATGGAACCATTTAATTGGTTGTCAGAGATATTAAGGGTCTGAAGCTTGGCTAGTGAGCCGATTCGTGGTGGGATTATGCCTGAAATCTGGTTGATCGACAATTCAAGATAAACTAGATTAGTCAGTTTACCTATTTCAGGAGGGATGGTGCCAGAGAGTTGGTTCATGCAAAGATCAACATATTCAAGAAAAGGGAGAGATGAGAATGGAAAATCATAGAGTGTACCAATAATACTAGCATTTGTAATATTCAACCTGTTTACCCTGCCATTAACACATATAACTCCATACCAATCCCTGCATGCATCAGAACTTGCCCCTCCAATGCTAGAAGAATTCTTGGCACTTAGTTTCCATGAAGCCAATAAGGAATTATTCTGGTTTTGGAAAGTTGCTTTCCATTTGAGGAGAGCAGTTGCTTCCTCAGTAGAAGCAAAAGAAACTGCCAACAAATATAAGAGAGTGAAAAACTTAAGTAAAGAAAATATTCTGGGAACCATCATCATGGCTAAAGGATGAAATTCAGTTGTTTGTTTTGGTTATTGTGCAGGGTAGAGCTTTAATTTATATTGTAGCGAATCATTACAAGTCCTGGGAGGCAATGGCATTAATTTCTCAGCTTGTAAAATACGGGTAGAATTAGAAAGACGAGAATTCAATGAGTCAATATTTCACTAATATACCAAATTACAAGGGTGTTTGGCGATTACGTTTCAATTGTGGCCAGAATTTTTCAGAAGACATTTCGTTGACGAGCTGATGGACATGCCTGTTAATGGTTGTATCATTTTCGCGGGCCATGTAATGTGGAAGAAAAGTCATATATATCTTCTATATTTATTATAAAAATACGAAAATTAAAACGCGATAAAAATATCCCGAAATATTGACAGACATTTATATCATTTGAAAGCTAAATTATATTCCAAAAAATAATTACCCGTTGGATAGAGTTGTCATATTTAGAACTTTTCCTAATTTTTTGGACTCTGAATTTAATTAAAACTTTGTATTTGAGAACTTTTATTTAACCTCTCAATAGAGTCCTTTTTCCTTGTCCACCGAAACTACATCCAAGTAACATGTTTCTTTAAACAAAAAATTAGGACTATCTGCTCTTAGTTGGAAGGAAGTGGAATTTTCTTTATAGCTTCTATTGAGTTGTTATAGTGCATCTGTGTAAGTTTGTCCTTTATTTGTTCTGTAATTTAGCTTATAATATTAGTTTTCTCATTCAAATGTTGTCCTTGCATTCTTAGTCCATTGTTTATAGTAAGAGGCAGATCCAGAACTTGGAAGGTCGCGGGTGCCACTATCTTTAATGAAACCCTATCACTAACAAGATCGAATGGCGGTGTACATTCACTCAGTTCAATCTACTTGATTCGGTTCGCTTTACAAGATGGTTCATCAATAAACTATGTAATCAACAAACTGAAATAAGTTTGGACCAGTTTGGTCTATCCCTCTCGATTCAAATTAGATTAAGTAAAATGAAAAAAAATCATAAATAAGAAAATAAAAATTTAAATAGGCAATTATACCCTCTTAATTCAAACATAATGTACTTAAATCACAAATTGCCACATATTATTAATATTTTATTAAAATAAACACAAGCCAAAGGAACTTTACTAAGGCTGGAAATAAACCTTTGTCATCGTCAACAATACAAGCAAAGAAAAATATTTCCAATACTTCGATTCACACCTCAGAACAAACTCTAATCATATGTAATTAGTATAGGATTTTTCTAACTATAAAATGAACACTTCAGAAAGTGTGAAAACAAGTCAATAGACTAGCTACAATACAATATTAGCTCTAAGGAATGTTGGAAATCAAGGGAATAATAAAGTAAGAGCGGAAAAAAACATTCAGATGTAACTTGAAGAAATAAAAAATAAAAGATTATGAAGCTACAATACAATTTAAATAAACGAAAGAAAATGTTTTTGTAGGGATAAAGAGAGAGGGAAAATAGAGAACACAACAAAATTGAGAAAAGAGGAGGGAAAAGATATCCAAAAAGGTATTAGAATGAAGGTAATATGGGTTGTATGATAGGGAAACAAAGATGAGAAGTTAAATAAATTAATTAAGGAAAGAAAACAAAAACACGCCTTCAGGCGGCATCGAACCGCAGCAGTTCACCTGGAAATATGGCGCTTTACCAAATGAACCCTAATTCCAATTGTCACTTCGGTTGGCATCCTTTACATATGTCTAATTTCCAGAAAAATTACCTATACAAACAAGAAGTTTTAGCCAAGTGTCCGGGTGCCATACCACCCCAAGTGATGTACATAGATCAACAGAGCGATGTAATTTAGAAATGATTTCTTATTTTCGAAAACTTTAATAGTAACATTAGCAAGTAATAAAGTATTTTCTATCAAAAAGAAAGTTCCTCAGAAAACACTTATGATTTCCTAGTAAATGGTTGACTGATTGTATCCAAAAAAAAATAAAATTAGATCGAATTACAATTTAGGAAGTTATATATAAACCGTAGAAAGTTATTGTGTGCAGATTTCAATATTATTAATAATACAACTATGACAGGGAAAAAAATGATAACCTAATTAAAAGTGAGGCTTACCTTATTCATCAATTTACAATCGCTTTACACCAAAGACTACTCGAAAAAATAACCCCAAACTTTTTATTTCTCAACAAAGTTTATTTGAATATATGACCTCATTATTTTAATTTGGATTAAGGTTGAAATCTTCAACTTTATTAATTTGATTAGATTTTAAAAAATTATGCAAATAAAGAAACGCCAAAAAACGAGAAATATATATATATATA